TGGGTGGGTTTTGGTTGGGTTTTTTTTTTTTTTTGTCCAACAGTAAAGTCCCTTCTCGTTTTTCTTTGCTTTTCATGCTAATACCTCAGAGTCAGGGCCTAAATTAAGCCTGTGGGCTCTCTTGGCGTCCATCTTTGGGATCTGGTTGTTTGTTTCACCCCCCCCTTCCATGCCTATGCACTTCAGGGCCGGGGTAGTCAGCAGACCACGTGCGTGGGGAAAGATGGAGCCCTCCCGTGATCTGTACTTCTGTATCAGCCACCCCAGGGAGTAATGGAGATAGCTGAATTTAGCTGGCAGGGAATGTGTTTTTCTGAGCATAAACACTTCAGGTCCTTAGCTACTTCTTGAATGTTCTTTCTTTTTTTTGTCTTTCCCCCCTACCAGATGGGTGACCTTCAGCTTTGTAAGGTAGATGAACTCGATTGCCTTATTAAAGGAGTTCTGTACATTGATTCAGTTGGATTCAATGGACATTCAGAGTGCTACTATTTTGAAAACCCGACGGATGCTGAAAGATGTCAGAAGCTCCCATTCAACTTGGAGAATCCATATCCTCTCCTTTTGGTGAACATTGGCTCGGGGGTCAGCATTTTGGCTGTGTACTCAAAAGAAAACTATAAACGGGTAACGGGCACCAGGTGAGTGCCGTGAGGGGGTAAATTTACTTTGAGTTTTATTTTGGAGTCTAGAACGTGTTTCTGCATTGTAGGGGACATTTTCAGGGGCAAGCTGCGTTAAAGGATGAGACAGGACGAGAGGAAACGGCCTCAAGTTGTGCCAGGGGAGGTTTAGGTTGGACATTAGGAAGAATTTCTTCCCTGAAAGGGCTGTCAGGCACTGGAAGGGGCTGCCCAGGGAAGGGGTCGAGTCCCCAGCCCTGGGGGGATTTAACAGCCGGGCAGAGGCGGTGCTGAGGGCCAGGGTTTGGGGGTGGACAGGAACGGTTGGGCTCGATGACCTTAAAGGTCTTTTCCAACCAAATGATTCTCTGATTCTATGAAAGGTGGCGAGTCAAATGACCGAGGTCCTGCTTGTGCCGCAGTCCCTCACCTCTGCCAACAAAGACCCCTCCTGGAAGAGAGAATCTGAATTTCATGCTTTGGTTTCCTTACTGCAGCCGGTCTCCTTAATTTCCTACAGCAGGGCAACTGAAAAAAACAGCTTCTAAATGGTTTTATTTGCCATCAGAGAAATCCCGTAGTTAGGGATTATCCCAAATACACTCATCATGATCACGTTAACAACTGTTAGCTTTGATCCTAGCAGCAGGGATTTGCTTCCTGACTGCCAAAAGCTGCCTTATTTTGGTGGAAGGGATGCTGGCGCGGCAGTGATTCCCCAGACAGTTGCTGGATGGCTGCAGCTGCCCTTCTTGAAGGTGTGGCTCTTGTTGCCAGGCAAAGCCAAAGAGCTCTGTGGCTTGAAGCTTTCCTGAATTTCCTGAAAGTTAGCAATAATAATAATAATATAATAAACTCCCCACAGTACAGATCTTACTCTTCTTATACATCATTATTGGCATCTGTGCACAGTAAAGTGAACAGGACGTAGTTTTCTCCGCAGTGTTTTGAATAGCTGTGCCCTAATACTCCAGTTATCCCTCAGGACCAAATATTTATTTTAAGTTTGACTCCTCTGAGCGCTGGGAAGAAGGCGGACATTGTAAAAGAAGAAAATTCAATTTCTCATTTAGAAACATGCCCTCTGCAGAAGGCTGCGAGGCCGTGGGATTCCTTACAGGCTGTAAGTTAGTCGAAAGTAACGGATTTAAAGAAAACTGCTGCTTTTCCAAGATGGCTCTCCCTGAAAAGAGAAGCAGCAGGAGGAGCGGGGCGGCCTGGGCTGACTCCCATGCGTAGCTGAGCAATCTGAGCTCTCGGTGGAAGGCGCCATTTTCTTCCTCTCTCTCTGTAGAAGCGAGGTGGGTGACTTCCGTTTTGCTTTATGTCGCAGCCTTGGAGGGGGAACCTTTTTCGGTCTCTGCTGCCTTCTCACCGGTTGCTCCACCTTTGAAGAGGCCCTGGAGATGGCATCCCATGGAGACAGTACCAAAGTGGACAAACTAGTGCGGGACATCTACGGCGGAGACTACGAGCGATTCGGATTGCCAGGCTGGGCTGTAGCATCCAGGTAATGACCTGACTGATCTTCATTTACTTATTTATTTATTTATTTATTTATTTAATTCTTTTCATGGGAGATTCTGCTGTAGCATCCAGGTAATGACTTGACTGATCTTTCATTAATTAATTAATTCTTTTCATGGGAGAATGACTTGACTGATCTTCATTTACTTATTTATTTATTTATTTATTTATTTAATTCTTTTCATGGGAGATTCTGCTGTAGCATCCAGGTAATGACTTGACTGATCTTTCATTAATTAATTAATTATTTTCATGGGAGATTCTGCTGTAGCATCCAGGTACTGACTTGACTGATCTTTCATTAATTAATTAATTAATTCTTTTCATGGGAGATTCTGCTGTAGCGTCCAGGTAATGACTTGACTGATCTTTCATTAATGAATTAATTATTTTCATGGGAGATTCTGCTGTAGCGTCCAGGTAATGACTTGACTGATCTTTCATTAATGAATTAATTATTTTCATGGGAGATTCTGCTGTAGCGTCCAGGTAATGACTTGACTGATCTTTCATTAATGAATTAATTATTTTCATGGGAGATTCTGCTGTAGCGTCCAGGTAATGACTTGACTGATATTTATTTATTTATTGATTGATTGATTTTTCACGAGAGGTTCTGCAAGGATGAAAAACTGGATTTATGTCTCTTAGGAGAGCTCCCATACCTTCTGCTATTCTGTTTTAACCAGATCTAAATCGCTGATAGCGAGGCTTTTTAAAGTTAGAAAGGAATGCTTCAAGATGAACCGCTTTGGTTTAAATTAGCGATTCCCATTTTCTCCTGGAATTCTGATGCAAATGGACCTGTCTTTACAGCTTTGGGAACATGATGAGCAAGGAGAAGCGGGAATCCGTCAGCAAAGAGGACCTCGCGAAGGCTACTTTAATAACCATCACTAACAACATCGGCTCCATAGCACGGATGTGTGCGCTTAACGAGGTATTGAGGGGAAATCTCCTTCACTGTTTCCTGTCTGAAGCATCGCTCGTGTGCTGCTGTCGTGCAGTTTTTTCCCTGCACGCGCTTCTGTAGGTGCGCCCTCATACTCCTCTTTCTGGATGTGCAGTAAGTTGTAATCCACTCGTTTTGGATTCTTCGGTAAATTTTCTCCGTGCTCGTCTGCGTGGTTTGAGCCGGGTCGTCGTGTCGTGAACGGAAGAGCTGCGAACGAGTGAGGGGTTGGCTGTTGGTCTTGTTAGGTCCTCTGCTTGGTCAGGAGTGACGCAGCTTCTCTGCGGTGGTTTGAGGAACGGTAGGTGCTCAACGAACTACAGTGACCACCGGGAGAGAAGGGAAGGTGTGGTGGGGGCGTAGAGCCTGGATACCTTCACCGTGGTGTTTTTACCAGTTGCTCTCCATTTCTTGGTGGGCCCCATGCCACTTCCACGGCCGTTCTTGCACCTTTGTGCTTTCAGCTTCTTTACAGTGCTGCCTTGTTGCATTCATGTCAAGCAGCATTGTACAGGGCTATGAAAGAACAGAGACCTCCTCTCCGCTCCCGTCCGAGCCCGCTCCTCTGGGATGAGCTAAGGGAGCGAAGCCTCCTCCGGGCGCCCGGTGCTGTTGGCAGATGCTCGCTGTTCCCTTCGCTTACTGCTGAAACGAGGCAAGGCGTGTTAGAAACAGCCCTGCCCCCAAGACATCTGCTGAGTCCTCGCTCCAGAGCGCGCCGCTGAACGCGGGGAGGGTGCCGGATAGTTAGGGGAAAGCGTTTAATGAACGTGGGGACGGAAGGGAAATCCGTAGAGGGACCTGAGTGAAGGAGCAGATCGGACTTGATCGCGATTCCTTGGGTAAGAGGAGGAACTGAAAATGATTTTCGTGTTGGGAGAACAAGAACGCTTCAGAGTTCATCACTTGGCTCAGGACAACTGTTTGGGGATTGAAAAGTTTGACTGGAAGTCTGATTTAAGTCAGAATATACCAAAATACCACTACTTGGTCTTTTCCTTTCTTTCAGAATTGTGTTGGCTATGGCTTTCTAAATTGGTTTTTTTTTCCTTTTTTCCTTTTTCCCCCCCCAGATTAGCAGTAGAGAGCCAGGGCGCCATTCAGCTCTTCTGATGAGTCAAAGGCTGGAGTTGGTGGGAGAGAGAGGAGATGGCACTTGGTGGTCGGTGTTCCTAGCCAGTATAAGCGTCTCATAGCAAAAAATCAACCGTTCTATAAATTTCTAAGCTAGCAGGGCTGTCGTTAGAGCTGTGGGTTGCTGGGAAGTGTGCAAGATTCTAAAAACGAGCCTGTCTTAACGTGACCTGGCTGGTACTGCTTTTGGGCAGAGCTGTGGGTGTTTGTAATGTTCTGCAGATCCTGCCTGACGCTTTCAGCAGTCACTTCATTCATAGAATCACGGAATCGTTGAGGTTGGCAAAGCCCTTTAAGCTCCCCGAGCCCAACCGCTCCCCTACCCCTGCCATCCCACCCCCAAACCCTGGCCCT